TGCTTCCTTCATTTCGAGCAGATGGATGTCGAAAGAAATCCAAATGCCAGGTACATACATGAGCACCAACATTTTGTTGTAGAAGGGGAAAATTTAGAGGACCCGCAAACGTGCGAGGTTTGCGGTAATCATATTTCCCACTTCTGCGACACAAATGTTTGTCCTATATGTACTGGCGCTTAAAATAAAGGAGTCAGGGGTTGCAATAGGTACGGTGGCTTTGTTATGAGTCAATAGCCCTCTATATATTATAATAGTTTAAGATTTAATTTGTATAGTTAATATTATTGTTTTTTATTTAAGCTTTCTGTATATATTTAAGTGTAAGTTATTTTATTATTGTATATGTAGTAGTTAATAGGAAAATAAAACTTGTTTTTTTTTAATCTTTATTTCATTTAATATCCATATTAAACAATATCATTTATATTAATCCAAGAGTTTTCTTGTTGTGGGAATCCCAACCACTTCACCAGGGCTTTACTTCCTTTTCTCCGAATAACCCTTTCCACTAAATACACATTAGCCTTGTTCATTTTGGGGGGTGTTTTTTATATTTTCTGTGCTTCACCTGGAATCGATTCCACTGTCAAAAATAATGATTTTCCCTACCCGAGGAATTTTTTTTGATGCAATTTAGAGGTTGCCATAGTCAATTTTTCATTAAAAGTAAAAATGACGATTCCGCTCCCGATAAAATTGAAACCTATGGACGATTATTTTGTAAATTCGAGGTCGTGACTATGGTTCCCTACGTATTTTTCGTCCCTGAAGACGATGCAACCATTTGTTTTGAGGTTAGAGATCAAGATTCAGCGCTGGGACAGGTTGTTTGAGGCTTGAAAATGCATTTTCGGGTAAAAATGAAGCATTCTGAGATGATAGAAGGGCCTTGTCGGGGTAAAGAAAATTCTTTCAGGTTTTCATCTTGAAGAAAAAAGTGTTACGAATCGATTGAAGACACGCGCATGTTTGTAGTGCACAGCATTTTCAAATAGTTTACGAATTACTGGAGTCACCCCTGAACCCAATCGACCTAATTTTCGCCCAAATCCAATTTTTCCGCTGTGTATCTCACAGGGACCCCTGCACATCAGTTTGCAACCCCTGATACATGATTTAGATTCATACATTGCAACTCCTGCATGTCCCGCAAAAATCCCTGAAGGGCGCCACTAGTCATAGTGCAACTCTTTACAGTCCTGGAGCCTCTTTTCATTTCTCAAGATTCATGCTTTAAATGTAGTAAACATTTCAAACTACACGGTGTCCGCGAATTGTGGCCATTTGCAAATTCTTTGTTCTGTTTATTTCGATAATATGGGTGGAAAATTCTGGTTGCTCGGGTCTTCGATTAAATCTTTTGCTGATATAGAAGAATTGCCGAAAAATAGTGACGTGTTGCGCCTCTTCCTGTTCCATCATACGTGTGAGAAGAAAACTATTTCTGAAAGCGCAAACAAGACAGTGGCCGCAACAATCAGCGTTTGGAGGAGGCTAAAATTACCAACAGCTGAACATCGGAATATAATAATAATAATAATAATAATAATAATAATAATAATAATAATAATAATAATAATAATAATAACGTTTATTCAGTAAGCCAATGGTATAAAACATAATAGCATTATAATGTAGCGTATATCAAGAATATAATAATAATAATAATGAAAAAGGAAAATGAATAATACAATAGAAACCTACCAAAATGTGAACTTACTGAAAAGGACATATTCATCGTCAATCATACAAGATGAAAGAAGATGGTTTTCAATATATCCTGATGTAAAAAGCACAAAAAAAAAAGAATTATAACAAAGATTATAATAGTAAATCCCACAAAAAAGAGACAAACAAAATTATTAATTAAATAATAATAACTAACACCAATATCTAATTATAGTACCTATCTAACAATAATAATAATAATACTACAATAATTATTAATTGAAGCATCAATGAAAATATTTTTGATAAATCTTAAATTTTAAACGATACTTCCATGTCACCATTTAATATATAACATTTTATTTTACGCTTTAATGCACTTACAGATAAGTTTTTAAGTTCAGGGGGGAGAGAATTGATTGTTTTATAAAATATGTAAGTAAAAGAGCTTTCAAACATCTTAGTCTTGTGTTGCGGGATTGATACAAAATTTCTTCTACGGATATTAAGATTATGAACATCGCTTCTGAACCTTATCTTGTTATGTAAATATGACGGCGTTTTAAATAGTAAAATTTTTTGAAATAGGCAGCAGGAATGCAAAAAACGAGCTTGACTTACTGTCAGCCATTTTAGTTCACTCCTTTTACGAGAAACCCGTTGATTTTTTTTTAATTTATAAATTAATCTAATGCAGGTATTTTGAATGCGCTGAAGACGCTGGTTATTGAATTGAGTAATGCATGGTCCATAGACTGAATCACAAAAGTTCAAGTGAGAAAATACAAGCGATTCACATAATAAGATTTTAGAACGATGATCCAGGGTGTCTTTATTGCCGTAAATCATTTTTATATTCGTTACACATTTTTTTATTATATTATTAATGTGTTTTTCAAATCTAAGATCAGTATCAAGGAATACACCCAAGTTTTTTGCGATATGTGTATTAGGCAATATTTCATTGTTAACTTTAATTTTAAGTTGATCATTGTAATTAATTCTATCTTTTTTCCTGCCAAACAGCATAACATGAGATTTAGAGGGATTTATATCTAAGCAATAGTCATTAGATAATTTAAAAAGTAAATTTAAATCAGAATTTACTTTGGCTATGCTTTCTTCAAATTTACAAGCAGGGAATGAAAGGCAAATCTGAGTATCATCCGCATATTGATGAAAATTGCAATACTTCAGTGAATCTGGGAATAAAGATGTATAGATGCAAAACAATAAAGGCCCCAAAATAGATCCTTGAGGGACTCCATTTTCTATTTCTAGCGAAGAAGATAATTTATCTTTATATTTAACATACTGCATTCTATTTTTAAGATAGTTATCTATAAGACATTTCGCATTTTCATTAAAACCTAGGTGGTGTAATAGCCCTATCAGCATTGCATGATTTATTCTGTCAAACGCCTTGCTATAGTCTAATAATACTAAAACTGTAAGGTGATTTTGGTCAATAGCTCTAATAATATCGTCAATGACTGAGAGTAGGGCAGTGTTACAACTGTGATTGGGGCGAAAACCAGATTGATTAATAGGAATAATATTATAATAATCTAGGAAGGTTTTTATTTGTTGATAAATAACTTTTTCCATAACTTTAGAAGCTGTGCAAAGAATACTTATAGGCCTGATATCTTTAAATTCATTTGGATTTTTTATTTTGGCCAATGGAATTACTTGCGCAACTTTCCATTGTGATGGAAAAATTGCGGTACTGATAGAACTGTTAATGATGTGAGTTAAATATTTTATTACAAACGGACAGCAGTAAAGTCCAGTCCAATGTCATCAGCACCAATAGCTTTAGATTTTATTGACAATAATATTTTATACACTTCATTCTCACTGACTTCGCTGAAATGAAACTTGCCAAGTCATTCTTTTCTGCTAGAGTTAAACTTTTCCAAAATAACTTTGTTAATTTTATGCTGTGACCGAGAAGAGTTGATAAAAAAATTATTCAACATATCGACGTCAGCTAAGTTATTAGGAATTTCGTTATTTTTATCATTTGAGTAAATATTAAGTTTCTTTATTTCGCTATAAAGTGTTTTAGTTGCAAGATTATTTTTTAATTTGTGGGCTAAATAAGCTTTTTTCTCGTGAGATACAGCTCTGTTAGTAAAGTTTCGTAACTCTTTATAATATATCCAGTGAGATTCTTTTTTAGTTCGTTTAAAACGACTTAGAGCATTGTCCCTTAATTTAAACATTAATTTGATATTTTCAGTTATCCAGGGTTTACTTTGTTTTTTTATATTTACAGAATGCAATGGAGCAAATTTCTTAATTATATTTAATAGTAGGGTCGTAAAAATATCAACTTTTATATTTATGTCATTAGTACGGTAAATCTGGTCAAATGGTAAAGATGACAGTTCTTGATAAAATTGTTGCATATTAATTTTTTTTATATTACGCATAGTTATAGTTTTTTTGGGTTTAATATTATTTTCAATTATAACCGTTGCCTTTACTAACCCATGGTCACTTTTAATTCGATCATATAACACATCACAATCATTAATATTTAATTTATCATTACAAATCATTAAATCCAGAAGAGTGGCAGAGGTCTTACTTATTCTTGTAGGTTTGTTAACGTGTTGAATAAGTCCAAACGAATCAAATATATTATGCAAATGCCTAGCTGCAGCTGTATCAACTAACAAATCTATATTGAAATCTCCTGAACAAATTATGTTATCATATTGAGCGCTAATTCCAATAATAGAGTTCTCAAATGCATCTAGGAATTGTAATAAAGGTTGTTTAGGTGGCCGGTATATGGCACCGATTATAAATATTTTCTTGTTAACAGTCAATTTTACCCAAAGTTGTTCAATGATACTATTATCTAAAAAATCCACAGCCGTAACGGGCCATATAGAGCTGATATATAAGGCTACACCGCCACCTGTAGTAACACTATCTCGATCCTGCCTAAATAAGTTATAATTTTTTATCATGATAGCATTATCTAAAATATTTTCATTGAGCTTCGTTTCAGTAATACATAATATATCATAGTTTACATGTTCAACAAACTCCCTTAACTCAGTAATTCGAGCCGGCAATGAATTAACATTAATACAGGCTACTTTTATATTACCCATTATTTCCAAATAATATTCTATTCACATTAAATATTACACCTATATAAATTTAAAAACAACGAAGTTTTTCTTATATATTTAAAAATTAATAGCTACAAAATAAAATGAAAACTATGTGAATAGCACAAAAGCTATACGAAAGAAAAAACTATTGCTATGATATATTTTGAACACTATTTATTTAGACTTTCAAGATATTTATTCAAAAGTAATTTTCCCTGCTTTTAAGTCGTCTACCGTGTAAGATCGTCCACTGTCCAACAATACAAGTTTGTTGTTTTTTATTTTAGTAGGAATATTCGAAACCGAGGCTTTTTCTTTAAACTGCTTTAGCGTTTTGTATTCTTCTCTCTCTTCCTTACTTGATTCTCTTGAAATCGAATACTTGGAACTTTTCAGTTTATATGACTTTCGAAAAATGTCTTTAACTACAGTGTAACACAACAGTTCCACAAGCACAGGACTATTCGACTTAATTTTACCGAGTCTGAACACGTTCCTTATTTGATTTTCTTTAAATGAACCTCCTAATATATCATTAAAAATTAAATTAACTTCAGAAGAAAGATTTTCTTTTTCAGCCGGGATTCCATGAACAATAATGTTATATTTTCTTATTATATTTTTTAATAATTTTACTTCAGAAGCAAGGTTTTTATGATCATTTTCTACTTTATCTATTTTTAAATTATTCTCCTCGATTTTATCTAGCAATTCTACTTTATCTAGCTTAATAGTTTCCTTCAGTTCAGAAATTTTATCATCAAAGTATTCTTTAAGTTTATCGAACAGCTGATCATGGCTAGCGATGTTTTGAGGATCCTTTCGCGGCATCGTGAACTGATTTTCGCGTATCAGACTTTAGACTTTACTAACTGACCGGTATCAAACACTCACCGGCAAATAATAAAATCTTATCACTTCAAGGTAAACTCAAAAAACTCCACAAATCCTGGTACAATTTAAAAAAACACAAGAAATTTGCTTCTTCCAAGAAAACAAAATTCGTGAATAGCTTGTCACACCTCTTCAATGTCGGCCCCAAAGACATCGCCATTCGCTTGGCAAACTCACCAAATCTTTTGTGTTTTTATAATTGTGTCAAAGACAATAAACGGTGCTCATACGCTGCACAATTCACCGCTGAATTCCGGAATAACTCTTTAATAGAAGCACAAGCCAGTGCCAGTGATGTTAGATGTGAACGCCCAACACCCAGAATTGTTGAATTGGTCGAAGAATCCAGCAGTGAATCAAGTTCGTCCTCTGAGAGTTCTTATTGTCCATCACCTGAACCCAAGAAGAGACGGATCGCCAAAAAAAATCCCCTGAATTCATTTGTTTGCAATACTGCCGATCGCGCAAAATTATCAAATGGTCAAATGGCATACGTGGTCGGAACAGTGGCGGCCGCTTCCGGCTATTCTATCGACCAGGTCTCTTGCTCTGTGAGCACAGTCAGAAGACATCGTATCCAAGAACGAGAAGAATTAGCCAGATCTATAATAGAGAAATTTCAACCAACTAGTAATTTAACAATCCATTGGGATGGAAAAATTATGAACGACCAAGAACAACGAGGCAAAGTGGACAGAATGGCAGTGATTGCCACTGGTGTTAGAATCGAGCAAATTCTTGGAGTCCCAAAGTTACCTTCAGGGACGGGAGAAGTCATGACGGAAAATATTTATAATTTGATAAAAGAACATAATTTAGCTCAAAATATAAATGCAATGTGTTTTGATACGACATCTAGCAACACTGGCCGTTATAAGGGAGCCTGCGTACGATTAGAAGGGCTTCTAGAAAAAAGACTTTTCTATTTTGCTTGCAGGCATCATGTTCTTGAGCTCATAGCATCGGCTGCATTTAACACCTTATTTGAAAAATCAACTGGCCCAAACATCCAGTTATTTGAAAGATTCAGGAAAGTGTGGGATTCTCAAGGAATAATTCGAGAAGAGTATCAGTCAGCCATTTTAGACGACCAATTGCGAGATCGTGTGAGAGAAATAAGTCCTCAAACAAAGCTAGTTGTAGAGGAGCACCTAAAATTTAACCATGCTCGAGCAGATTACTCCGAATTACTGCAACTTTGCTTGCTGTTTGTCGGTGAAGATCTTAATCCCCGGATTGTTATTCGACCACCTGGTGCAGTACATCGCGCTAGATGGATGGCGAAATTGATCTACTCCTTAAAAATATACCTCTTGAGAGATCAATTTTTTCTGGACCCGGCAGAAGTTTATGCCCTACGAGAATTCAATTTCTTTATTGTGAAAATTTATGTGCGATACTGGTTCCAATGTGAGAGTGCCCGTTTTGCGCCATTCAATGACCTGTCTCTACTTAAGGAACTCACGAATTACAGAATGACGAATGAACAAATTTCACTAGCGACAGTCAACCAATTTTCAAGACACCTTTGGTATCTGCACGAGAGTTTGGCCGCCTTATCTTTTTTTGACGACAGAATACCTAGATCGATGAGAATTAAAATGTGCGAAAAATTGAGAGTAGCCACCGTTCCTAACGAAGCGAATAAATTTTTAAAACCAAAGAATCGTGAGATCGATAGTTACCAAATTCACGATTTTGTAAATGCCAATACGAGAGACTTTTTTACAAGCTATGATATAGATGTCGAATTTCTGAATTCTGACCCGGCAACCTGGAAAAATAGCGCGTCTTATCTTCAAGCTCTTGAGAAGATTTCTGGATTAAAGGTGGTCAATGATGTCGCGGAGCGATCGATTTCTCTAGCGCAAGATTTCAATGGTCTAGCGGGTAAGAGTGAAGAACAACAACAGTATTTGTATAAAACCGTAGCTCACCATAGAAACATTTGTGCGAGTAATAAGAAGGAAGATTTGAAATTAGGTCTTGAATCTGCGCATCATGTGTAATTTGGTTTAATCGAAGCCGCTGTCATGAAAAATTATTCTAAAAAACTGTTAGTCTAGTAATTTCAGAAAACTGTTCATTATTATTCAGAACTATTATTATTATTGTAATCAATTATTGTAAAAACAATTGTTTATTTGTTATTTCTTGACATAATTTGTGAAGTGTCAAACACTGGTCGAAGTCATAATCGAAGATTCAATATTATTTCTTGTATCAAAAACCACAGATAATACATTTTTTTGTTCACAAATTGGTGTTAATTTTTTCCCAATAATTTTATGCATTTTCCCAAAGTAAGAGCAAATGGGGACGCTAATATACCAGGATTCCTCAAGATATGAGGGTGTTATTTCCAATTTCTTGGTTGCAATTAGAAGCATGAATCTTGCGAAATGAAAAGATGCTTCAGGACTGTAAACAGTTGCACTATGACTAGTATCGCCCTTCAGGGATTTTTGCGGGACATGAAGGAGTTGCAATGTATGAATCTAAATCATGTATCAGGGGTTGCAAACTGATGTGCAGGGGTCCCTGTGAGATACACAGCGGAAAAATTGGATTTGGGCGAAAATTAAGTCGATTGGGTTGAGGGGTGACTCCAGTAATTCGTAAACTATTTGAAAATGCTGTGCACTACAAACATGCGCGTGTCTTCAATCGGTTCGTAACACTTTTTTCTTCAAGATGAAAACCTGAAAGAATTTTTTTTACCCCGACAAGGCCCTTCTATCATCTCAGAATTCTTCATTTTTACCCAAAAATGCATTTTCAAGCCTCAAAAAACCTGTCCCAGCGCTGAATCTTGATCTCTAACCTCAAAACTAATGGTTGCATCGTCTTCAGGGACGAAAAATACGTAGGGAACCATAGTCACGACCTCGAATTTACAAAATAATCGTCCATCGGTTTCAATTTTATCGGGAGCGGAATCGTCATTTTTACTTTTCATGAAAAATTGACTATGGCAACCTCTAAATTGCATAAAAAAAAATTCTTCGGGTCGGGAAAATCATTTTTTTTGACAGTGGAATCGATTCCAGGTGAAGCACAGAAAATATAAAAATCACCCCCCAAAATGAACAAGGCTAATACACATCTCTCCATTTTGTTTTTAATAATTCCAATTCATAAAATGAGCCTTTAATCGGTTGATCATTCATATCTTCTATAATGTATGTTACGGGGTATGTGCTATTTATTTTTCTTATTTTGAATAATTCAGTTGTATAGTTAGCAGTATACCCCTTTTCAAATGTGCTTTTATATTTACTTATTCTTACGATATCACCGATGTGATATTTTGGTTTTTTACGCTTTATTTCGTTTTTCTTCTTCTTTTGTCTATATTGGTTGAGTTTAGTTGTTGGCAGGACATCTATTGGCCTCATCCCTATGATTGAATGCGCTGTATTATTGTACTTGTTAATCACATCATTTATAATATCTATCCACTTATATTCCCCTCTCATGGAATTTTTTTTAAATAATAGTGATTTTATTGTGCGTATTACACGTTCAGCCATAGCCGCTTTCTTGGTGCTATAAGTAGAATAGTGATTAATACCATATTGTTTCATTATTTTTGCAAAGTCCTTATTATAAAACTCTGTTCCATGATCTGTTTGTATATTTGCCGGGCGGTGTTAGCTGTTTTGAAGTATATTTAAAAAAGCATTTGTAACGTGCGAACCAGTTTTATTTTTTAATGCTCTAGCCCACACATACTTTGAATAACAGTTAATAACAATTAAAATATATCTGTAATCATTATTATCATCTTTATAACTTTGCATATCAGCCAAATCACTCTGCCACAAGTCGGCATATCCTTTTACAATAGTCCTTCTTCTGGGAAAATTTCGACGGGCGGATCGGTGGATTTCTTCAATTATTTGGCGCTTAGACATCCTTTCCAATTAAAATACAATTTTTTATTCAAACTTTTCGATCCTTTCTTCCAGTCCTACTATAATTTTCGATAAAACCGATGTATTTTGCCCAATACTTCCTTTGACGCTTTTAAGGTCTCGAAGAATTTCCGTATTACACTTAAATGAATCTATCGCTAAGATCAGTTAAAGGCTGATTCTCAAAAAAAATCGAAATTGATGTCCTTGATCATTTTTATAAACCAGGATCGTTAATTATGAAAAGTTGTTTTTTTTAATAATACCACTGTGCTTGATCTACGAATGTATGAAACAAATTTATTTTTTATATGATAAACAACAAAGGTATGTCCAAGAAAGTACCCTGAAAATCATTCCCTCACTATGTCCCAAGTGCTACATTTGAAGATAGTTATTAACTTAAAACGTAAAATTCCTAAGAAATTGTTTATTATCATATTTTTTACTTATATAGGATAGTATTGACTATACTTATATGAGTTCATAGTTTCATAAATCCGAATGGAAATATTTTTAAATATAATTCAAAATTTGTCCTTAAAAAAAGTATCATTCCCTCACCGTTTTGTAACAGTATGATTGGAGCAATACTCCAAGGCCTACCAAGTCCCACTTTAATTTTTTTTGAAGTTGGCAACATTGCCTTTGAGAACATACACTAGAGTGGACAATTGAAAAAAGGATGTTTTCTTAAAATCAATTTGACATTAATTTTTTTGAATATTCCATTTTTTAATGTCATTTCCTCATGTAATGTTATCAAAAGGTAAGCATTTTTTTATTTAATAATCATATCATATTTTTATATGTTTTCGGTAGTAATAAAGTACTGTTTAAAATTCGTAAGAAAGTAAGGTTATGTTCCTAAGTTTGTAGCAATTTTGTTTCGTTTTGTCATTCCCTCACCGTCATTCCCTCATAAAAATTTTTTAATGAGGGAATGATTTATTTTCTAATAAATTTAGAATACTTATGTTTGTTTGATTGGTTTCAGTACCCTAAACATCTATAATGTCG